TCTACTTGATCCCTCCTGTACAGGGTATAGCCATCTATACCCACGGTCCAGTCATGGGTAGAGTCCCACCAGGTCTCCATTATCCCTATGACATCATAATTATTTGCATTGAGCAGGAGGACAATCTCCTCCTGCTTATTCCCCAAGCTCCTGGCATTTGTCTGTGAAGAACCGCCAAAAGGGGCCTAGTTCTGCACACCCTGACAATATCTATGAATCTATGAACTCCTGCACAGGCCCAGGCACCCTCAAGCCCTGGGAGCACTTTCCCAGCCCCTCCTGCTTACTGAGATGCATACCCGGGATCTCTGGCATGTCCCCAGTAAGAGGGGGAGTCAGAGTTTCCCCTTTACAGAGGCACATCCCAGAAATCCTAAGATTAGTTAGCCTGGAGAAGACTGAGGGGGAATTTGCCAAGAATCTTCAAATACAAAAAAAAGTGGCTTTTAAAGGGCTGGTGATCAACTGCCCTGTGCATCTATGAGGGGATGGGAGAAGGCATACTCTTAAATTGCATAAAGGAAGATTTAGGTTAGACCAGCAGTTCTCAAACTCTGACAGATTGTGCACCACCAATTTAAAACAATACAACCTTATGTACCACCAGCAAATGTTTCAGTTCAAACTGAAGTACCACTAGCAAGTTTTTGTCATGTAAAGTAATTAAAATAAATCTGTTAATGTGTACCACTGACAAGCTGTCTGTGTACTACTGGTGGTACCCGTACCACAGATTGGGATCTGCTGGGTTAGACATTAAGAACTTTCTGAGTTCCGTTAGCTTTCCTGGATCATAATATTAACAGAGAATATTCAGACAACAGACATGTTATAGGATCAGAAAATATGACTGTTTTCTCTTTTTTAGGATGAGTGATTATTTATACAATATTCATTCCAAAACGTGCTTATTACGCATTTGTTATGTTCCTATTTAAAATGTTTTGAAGGCTTCTCCACCCACATCAGCACTGGTCTAGTTAAACTGATGCACACAGAAGCACTAACCATTTATTTTTTGTTTGAACAATTTATTTTGTTTTTACTTCACCCTGTTTCTAACCAATGTAAAGTAACTCCAAATAATACCTTGTCTTCACTGCAGTGTAACCTCAGATTGGCACTTATGAATTAGGCAGAAGGCAGGGCAGAGCTGCACTTTGTACACTAACTATACCAGAGATGTATAACAACCTTTCATGAGCCCAAGCTCACTTCCTCAGATACTGTGAAGCAACATGCACAGTCAGGGCTGGTCTCTGTGCATGGTCTTTTAATTTACAGCATCTGATGGAGTGAGTTTGAGCTCACAAAAGCTTATGCTACACATCTCTGATTTAGTCTACAAAATGCAAATCTACCTTGCCTTCTGCCTGACTTCAGACTAACAAAGCTAACTACCTCTCTAATTATGAGTTAGTCACTTTCCTTCAGCATAGAGATGTTGAACAGCAGTTGAGTATCATCCATATGCCTGCTACCATATTTCACATCCACACCAGCATGCAGCCAGCATGAGAGATAATGGGTTATATCTGTACCGCCACTCGGGTTTGCACTTGGGCAAACCCGAGACTGTGGCCCTGCCCACTCACTCCTGCTCCATAAATGCTCCTTGCCTGGAAATGCCATGTCAGTGCTTTTTGGTAAGGGATCTTAGCCCTGTGCCTGCCCTTAACTCTTGCAGTGCCTCTGAAGTGGAGTGAATGGAGATATACACCCAGACTTAGGTGCATCTTGCCTGAGGCTCCATTTGCTCTCACAAGGTATTGTGAGACAATCCGCTTTCTTTCTTCTGGGGATGAGAGACAGAAATGGTCTAGGCCTAGGAATTCATTACCTGGAAGGATCAAAGCCAGTGTGCTATTGTTACCATTTGCTCAAAGCCTAGACTAAACTGAAGACAGTGTCCACACAACCCTCTATACTGATTAAAGTAACATTTTATATCATACCTTAAATTAAACCTGTGCAATGAGGCTGCGGATAGGGCCTCAGTCATCTAATTATGGAGCGGAAACAATCCTGGGAATTAAATCATGGCCTTACAAAAATCAATGCCATTGACTGGCATTGTGGCCTGGCTTTCACTCCATAGTTCTTACTGTAAGTAGGAAGCAATGAACAGTGTAATGTAATAGTTTCCCAATAACCTATAGAATGCAAATTTGTTATCTGAACAATTTGCTAATACTGGTGACTTGGTCACACATTTGGAAAGAAGCTGACATCAACCCATAAATTTAAAAAAAGGCTTAGGTCACATTTTAAATGATTTGCATTACATCATTTGACCAGCTAGAGTTGCAAGAAACATGACCAATATTTTTCCAACGCCCTGAAAGCAAGGCTTTATTTTCACAATTTGTGATTTAATTGTATTATAGTTGTCATACCTCCATTTGTACCCCAGGTAAAAATCTGCCTCAAGAAGTTTATTGCTCTTCAGATTTCCCCTTCCCAGTGCCTAGTGGCATATCACTTTTAGAACTAGGAGCACAGCGTCCTTGGAATACATTGTATGAATGAGTCGCTATGAATTTTTTAATGCATGAAAAGGCTGAAAACATTTAATCTACAAAAGACAGGCAATTCTAAATTATGACTCCCTTTCCAAACATAATACAGCTCCATTGCTCATATGTAGTAAAATCTTCTACATTATTGGGTAGGCTGCTAATGCTTTGCTTTAATATGAGTGCAATCTGGTTGATGTATGGTTGCTGTGGAAACCGTATCTTTGAATTTTCTGTCTTATGTGTTTCAGTTTTCAGCCATAAAGTTGCCTTAGCATATTTTTGCATTGTATTTTTTGTTTCTTTAAAGAAAAAAAACAAGGGAAAAAGTTACTATTCTGATCTGAAT